GGAGAACAGCTGCGTGGTGGTGGCTCTTCCACACGAGGAAGAGGCACCCTTGCACCAGAGTGCAGAGCCTGACCCCCGGTCCCCTGCCCCAGGCCCTGTGCCCTGTGTGGGACAGACCCGTCCCCGGGCCCATGTTTGCACATCTCCTTGTTTTCTCTTGGTGGCATCTTCCCCACGTGGTGTGTCAGTGTCTTGTGGCTCCAGTAACAGGATCCCACACGCTGGGAGGTTTAAAGCAACAGGAGTTTACTATGGCCCAATTCTGGAGGCCCGCGGTGGGCAGCGCCGGCGCCCTCTGAAACCCCGGGAGGGCCCTTCCCGCCTCCTCCAGCGCGTGGTCCCCGCTCTCCCCGCAGGGCGCTGGCTCTCAACTGCAGTGCCCCCATCAACGACCGCAAAGGGGCCGAGGCCAAGGACTGGCGGTCGGGGAAGCCGGTGCGCGTGGTGCGCAACGTGAAGGGCCGGAAGCACAGCAAGTACGCGCCCACCGAGGGCAACCGCTACGACGGCATCTACAAGGTGGGCGCCCCGCCCCGCGCGCCCCGGGTCCCCCGGTCCCCCATGTCCCTGACACGGTGTCCGCTCCCGCAGGTCGTGCGGTACTGGCCGGAGAAGGGGAAGTCCGGCTTCCTGGTGTGGCGCTACCTCCTGCGGAGGGACGACACGGAGCCCGGGCCCTGGACCAGGGAGGGCAAGGACCGGATCAAGAAGCTAGGGCTCACCATGCAGGTGCGCCCCTGGGCGGCCCGGCGCCTCATCCCTGCGCGACCCGGAGCCCCCGCCGTCCTGCCCTCAGCCTCGTCTTTCTGGCCGGTCCCTGGCGGGAGAGGGCCCAGGGAGCACTGGGCAGTGAGCAGCCAGCCAAAGCTCTCCCCGCTGCTCTCGTCCAAAGCGCTTCCCAGGCGCAGGGCTGGCCGCGCCTGCAGACGCGTCGGCCGGCGGCTCCCAGGGGCGGGCGAGTGTCCGCGTGTGGGCGCACAGTCCCGGAGTCGGGAGCCGGGCTTCCTGACGGGGCTGTTAGGAGAGGAGCGGGTCCGACGTACATCTGCAATCTGGTCTCGCCTCTGCTGTGGCCCCTCTCCTCTCTCGATTGCTTCTCTCTGCTCCTCACCCCTGCGCCCTCCGCAGAAGCAGAAAGCAACCACCCGAGCACGGGGACGCAGAGGCAGAGAGGCTAGATGTACAGATAAGGGTCCCTCCCCGCAGCCCCTCGCCTCTTTACGGCAGCACAATCTTCCATCTTCCCAGGTTTCCCCCAGTGTGGGAAGACGGCTGTTGTGCACCATAATTATGGTGTTTTCTGCTCCTTACGGGGGCTGGCTTTACAGCTGATAGCGCGTGCTGGGGCTATTTAAGGCATCTTAATTGCTATTGAGAGTCAGTCCGCGCCCACCCCCTGGGGTCACGAAGAGTTGTCTTTTGAACATAATGTTCGTGTCACAGGGAATTCCAGAAGTTGAGGAACAGGGGGAAAAAATAGCCTTGGGACTGAAACAGCAGCGTCCAGTGGGAGTAGGACATTTAGTTATGACTTCAGTCTTCGTTGCAACTTAGCGTGGCTGAAGAAGCTCAAAGATTTCTCCATGTGACGTTGGAGAGTCACACAGGCTCGTAGGTGCCTTAGGGGTGGGGTTACAGTCAAACGAGGCCTGTGAGGACTGGCGGAGCCCAGGATGCCTCAAAATCAGTTGGCCGAGCTAAGGCCCTGGGGCCACTTATTTGTAAATGAAGTTCTCTTGGGGCCCTGTCTGGCTCCTTCATCCACATAGGGGCTGTGGCTGCTTTAGGGCCACGGCAGAGCTGTGTCCCCACCAAGCCGCGAGTATTTACCACCAGGCCCCTCGTGGGGAAAAGTTTTTTGCATACCCCCAATCAAAATCGTGAAGATAAGACTGTCTGGTTTGCTGGGTCAGATGCTCAGCATTTCGCATCAGGCTCCGCAGTTAAGTGGCGGCCTCTGAGCTGAGCTCGGAGTCGGGTAGAAAGAGTTGAAGAGTCTGGGGCCTGAGTGGGTGTCACGGTGAGGTGAGGGTAGGAGGGAGGGGGCGGGGGAGCCGGGGGCCCCCGAGGAGGACCCCGCTCCAGCCCGCCCCTCACGCCGGGTCTCGCCCCCTCGCACGCAGTACCCGGAGGGCTACCTGGAGGCGCTGGCCCGGAAGGAGAAGGAGAACAGCAAGCAGGAGGCGGGGGAGGAGGAGCCGGCGGAGGAGGAGGAGGGCTTCACGTCCCCCCGGAAGGGCAAGCGGAAGAGCAAGTCGGCAGGTGGGTGTCTCCGCGCCGGCCGTGCGGGCGCTCGGGGCCGGCTCTCACCGCTCTGCTCCGTCCCAGGTGGCAAGAACGGCGCCGGGTCCCCGCGAGGCACCCCCAAGAAAACCAGGGTGGAGCCCTACAGCCTCACGGCCCAGCAGAACAGCCTCATCAAGGAAGACAGGAGCAACGCGAAGCTGTGGGCCGAGATCCTGAAGGCCCTCAAAGACGGCCCGGTGAGCCCCCCACTCATGCTCTTCGTGTTTTAAAATTGTGGTAAAAGAGAGAGAACGTGAAGTTCACCATCTTCACCATTTTAAGTGCACAGCTCAGTGGCATGAAGCACATTCACACTGTTGTGCACCCATCCCCACCATCCGTCTCCAGAACTTTCCATTTTCCCAGACTGAGACTCTGTCCCCATGAAACACTGACTCCCCTTCCCTCCCCCAGCCCCTGGCCCCACCATCCACTTTCTGTCTCTGTGGATGTGACTCCTCTAGGGGCCTCCTGTGAGGGGATCACACAGTGTCTGTCCTTCTGTGTCTGGTTCACGTCACTGAGCGTCATGTCCTCGGGGTCCATCCACGTTGGAGCAGGTGTCAGAATCGCCTTCCTTTTCATGGCTGAGTAATATTCCAGCATGTGGATGGAGCACATCGTGTGTATCCGTCATCCATCCGTGGTCACTTGGGGTGTTTCCACCTTTTGGGCTGCTGCGAACACGGGTGTGCAAACATCTCTTCGAGACCTTGCTTTCACTTCTCTTAGGTATAGACCCAGAAGTGGGATTGCTGGGTCTGTGGTCTTTCTGTGTTCAGGTTTTGAGGAACCGCTAAACCAGGGCTGTCCTTTTGTGATCCTGCTGCCCTGAGTGGGGTCACTGCCACTGGGTGGCTCAGTCTTTTCTGGCCACCGTCCCCGCCTGGTGGGGTCTGGCTCTCCTTGGCTCACTCTGAGTTAAACCCAAACCCTCGAGCCCTGGCTGATCTGCCCGTTACTGCCCACGCTCTCTCCTTCTGGACTCTTCCTGGTCACCCCCTCACAGGGCCTCTGCCTGGAGCGCCTCCCCCCCAGCCCTCCTGCCTGTCTACCCCGTGTCAGTTCCTTGTGGCTCCTGTAGCCATGAGTCTTTAGGGGCTACAATCCAGGTGTGGGCAGGGCTGGTCCTCTGGAGGCTCCGGGGAGAACCGTCTCCTGCCTTTTCCAGCTTCTAGAGGCCGCGTCCTGGGCTCAGGGCCCCTTCCTCCGTCTGCACAGCCCGCAGCGCAGCGTCTCCTGTCTCTCTCTGCCTCTCACCCTTCTCCTCCCTCTGATGAGGACCCTGTGGTGACACTGGGCCCCCGGGGATGCAGGATCGTCCCCTATCTCGGGGGCCTTAACCCATCTGCAAAGTCCCTTTCGCCGTGGAAGGTGCTGTGTACACAGCTGCCCAGATTAGGACTCAGACACCTTGGGGGCTCTGTGATTCAGCTGGCCCCCATCCTTCTGGTCACCTTCTCCGTGGTGCATTCTCCGGCTGCCTGTGCTCGGGGTGGCCCTCCCTGGCTCCCTGCTGTCCTCGCCAGCCCTGCTGTGACAGTTCCGTCTTTACCTGTCTTTGTCTCCCCCCTGGGCTCCAGGCTCCGAGAGGGCAGGGGTTCCTTCTGTTTCCTCCTCTGCTGGAGCCTGGTGCCTGGGTGGCACACAGGAGGCTCAGCGCCTATTCATTGAAGGATCGAAATCCGCGCCCCGAGAGAACGGCTGATCAGGCGCCGTCTAGACCCCGAGCCTGGCGGTGCCCTGTGCTGGCTAGTCGCGGCCGGGACCCTGGCCGGCTCTCTTCTAGAACACCTTCAGATGAGGTCACATCGGCTCCTGCCTGCTGGGGTGGGGGCGGGGATGCAGGAGGGGACCCAGGACAGGTACTGAGCAGGGAGCCGCCGTTTCCAGAGGGTTCCACCGGGGCGGCCGTCATCCTGGCGGATGGAGCCCTGCCGGCCTGACGTGCGCTCTTCTCCAGTTTCAGAAATTCCTGAGTAAGGTGGAGGAGACCTTCCAGTGTATTTGCTGCCAGGAGCTGGTGTTCCGCCCGATCACGACCGTGTGCCAGCACAACGTGTGCAAGGTGAGAGGCTTGGCTGTGGGAAGGTTCCGGAAGGATGATCTGACCTCCCGCTGCTGTGCACCCACCACTGCTGCCATGGGTGTGTTGGCTTGGCTTCTGCACACTCCCAGGCTCCCGGGCTCCCGGCCCTTTGCAGCGCCATGTCTGTTTTCTGGGTGGCCTCGATTGCCACAGTCTCCCATCACCCCGCTCGCCTGCCCCTTGCCCTCCCGTGCCCCCCGGGCTCAAACACAAACTCTTTGCCCCTGCCGCCAGCCCGCCTGGGCTGGCCCTCCCTCTGCCCTGAACTCCAGTGTCCCCTCCCCTGTGACCTGCAGCCACACCGGCCCCTGCTGTGCCTTCAGCAGGCCGTCGCCTGCTTGCCTTACAAGCCGTTCGCTGGTTCCCACCTCCTTCTGGAACATTCTCTCCCAGCCTCTTACGTGGCTGGGGATCCAGGGTGGGAGAGAATGGGCTACAGTCCTGGTCTAGTCGTAGTAATGATTATTAAGTGGGCTGTGGGCTGGGATGGAAGCCCCCCAGAGGAGCAGGAAGGAAGCCTTCCTGGAGGAGGTGGCATTGGGTTGCCACCGGAAAGGGACTCGGGGCAGCGTCCCAGGGCGGCAGAACGGCGTGTGCAGAAGCCTGGACAGGCAGGCAGGTGGGAGCAGCCGAGGCCTGTGGGGTATGAGGGGCTGGGGAGGTGGGCTGCTTGGTAGGGCTGCAGGCTCTGGCCGTGGTCAGTCTCGGGAGGGAGACAATATGATTGAAAGAGAGACCGAGAGAGGCTGAGGTTGGGCTAGACCAGGGTCTGCCCCCGGCACCGTGACATCTGGCCCGGTCATTCTTTGTGGGGCCGTCCTGGGCGCTGTGGGGGGCTGAGCAGCATCCCTGGCCCCCACCCACTCAATGGCAGCAGCTTCCCCAGTGTGACAGCCACAGATGTCCCCAGACATGGCCCAGTGTACCCTAGGGGCAGGACCGCCCAGTTGGGAAGCCCTGGTCTGGTGGATGGTTTCTTTGGTGTCATCTGGCCGGAGCTGATCAGGAGGACTGTGGGCAGCGCAGGCAGACAGTGGTGGAAGGGACTGTCCCTGCCCCCGGTCACCCCTGGTCTCTGAGTTGCACCAGCTCTGCTCTCGGCCTGGCCACCGTGTCAGCTGTCAGACCCGGGGAGGCCTGAGACCCTTCAGCTGTGTGGCCGGGGAGGGATGCTCATGTGCCCCGAGGCTGTGAGGCCGAGGAGAGGCTCAGAGGCTTGTCAGAAGTGGGGAGGGCGCGTCTTGGGGGTCAGCGGCCCAGGTTTGTCCCCCGGCTCTGCTCCTCCCGGCCATGCAACCTTGAAAAGCCACCTGACTGCTCTGAGCCTGTCGACCTCGGTGAAAAGGGGCAGAGCAGCCCCTTTCTGGGCGGCTGCGGGGGAGGTGGGGGTGGGCGGTGCGGGGACCTTGCAGAAGGCCAGGCCTGGCTGGCACTGGGGCAGGGGACCGACCCCTGGGATTTCGGGGACCAGGCATCCCAGGGGGTCACACGTGTCGTTAAAGTGCTGATGCTGGGAAGGAGGAGGCTGCTGGCCTTCACGTGTCGGTCCTGTCTGTCCATGTGACAGTTGTCACATCTCACAGGTCAGCGTCTGAGGGTTATGAGAAAACGGCTCCACCCAGCTGTCCCAGCCCCTGATTTTTTTTATTCTAGTAGAAAATGCTTCTTCTGAAGTAAAATACACATAAAATTCACCATCATAACCATTTTTAAGTGCACAGCTTAGCAGCCTGAAGCACATTCACATTGTTGTGCCACCATCCCCACCATCCGTCTCCAGAACTTTCCACGTTCCCAAACTGAGACTCTGTCCCCATGAGACACTGACTCCCTGTCCCCTCCCCCAGCCCCTGGCCCCACCATCTACTTTCTGTCTCTGTGCATGTGATTCCTCTAGGGACCTCCTGTGAGTGGATCACACAGTGTCTGTCATTCTATGTCTGGCTTATCTCACTGAGCATCATGTCCTCAAGGTCCTTCCACACTGGAGCAGTTGTCAGGATTTACGTCCTTTTCATGGCCACGTAATATTCCATTTTCTGGATGGATACATTGTGTTTATCCATCATCTGTCCATGGATACTTGAATGCTCCCACTTTTTGGCTGTTGTGACTAACGCAGAAGTCCCAAACCTGATTTTGAAGGTTGACCCAAATCTTGTTGTCCTGAGCAGAAAGAACTACCTTTCGGGCCGGCCATGTGGCTTAGCGGTTGAGTGTGCACGCTCCGCTACTGGCGGCCCAGGTTTGGATCCTAGGCGTGCACCGACGCACCGCTTCTCCGGCCATGCTGAGGCCACGTCCCACATACAGCGACTAGAAGGATGTGCAGCTATGACATACAACTATCTACTGGGGCTTTGGGGAGAAAAAAAAGGAGGAGAATTGGCAATAGATGTTAGCTCAGGGCTGATCTTCCTCACAAAAAAAAAAAAAGAAAGAACTACCTTTCGTCTCTGGATTCAAAACTAGACTTTGTATTGAAGAAAGAACTCAGGAGTTTTCACAACAGGAAACGAAACCCGCAGCCTGCGCCCCACGGGCGGATGTGCCATGGCGTCCATAGGCCGTCCCCCGTGTTACACTGAGCCCCTCACCCAGTCACCTGGTGCCAGCCTTTAGGCATGCGCACCTGTGCAGGTGTCCACGTACCCGTGCACATTGTCTCTGGCCACGTGGTTGGTGTCCCCCGTTCCTCTGATTGGGATGCTGGCTCTCCAGGGCCCGTCCGCCCTGCAACTCTGTCCACACCTGACTGTCTTGCCCAGGCATCGCTGGGTTGAGAATTAACTTTGAGCCCAGAAGTCTGGCTCAGCGCTGGAATTCCTTCGTTTTCTCCTTGACACATTTATGGAGCGCCTCCTGTATGTCACATCCTGTGCTTGGTGGTGGGAGGGTCAACAAGACGCCACCCCATGCCGCGGGGAGCGTCCGGCCTATTACACACAAGCACGTTAGTGAACAACACCGTTCCAGAAGGCAGAAGATGGCGTTTAAAGGCAGGCAGGGCAAGGTGGTAGGACTAGCCATGGCGGAGCAGCTTCTGATATTCCAGGGGGTCAGGGAAGACCCCTGTAAGGAGGTGACTTGAGCTGAGGCATGAGTGATCAGAGAGCCAGAGGACAAACTCGTGAGGTGACGTGACCTGCAAGTACAAAGACCTGGGGACCAGGATGAGCTTGGAGTCTGAGGGGCTCTGGGGAGATCACGCTGGTGATGGGCGGCCAGTGGTAGAAAGTGAGACCGAGGGTCAGGAGGGACCTCTGAACCCTGTGAGAAGTCAGTGATTTCTCCTGCCTCCGTGCCCGGGGACAGTGGGTGGCACTTCTCACCTGTCCACTCTCTCTTGCAGGATTGTCTGGACCGATCCTTCAAGGCCCAAGTGTTTAGCTGCCCTGCCTGCCGCTACGACTTGGGCCGCAGCTACGCCATGCAGGTGAACCAGCCGCTGCAGGCCGTCCTCAACCAGCTCTTCCCCGGCTACGGCAACGGACGGTGATCTTCAAGCACTTCTCGCTGGGCGTTTTCTTAAAACGTATCCCAGGGGTCTTCGGCCACGATTCTGTTTTTAGTGGGCTTAACTTAAACATGTAGTTTTCCTCCACTCCCTAGAAAGCCTTGTCTTCCTGGTTTTTTTTTTTTTAATCTATAAGTCTCTCGGAATTTGTATTACGGCTCAAAGAAAGAAAGTTGGGACTCCTCCGTGTTTGATTTTGAAGAAATACGAAGCCTGCAGTTTATCAGCAATAAACAACAAAACATTTCTGTTTCTGGAGATGGAATCAGCCACGACTTGACACGAAGGCTGCTGAGGTTCTCAGCGTCAAGTTCTCAAAAGTTCCGGCCGCCGACTAGCGAGAGGGCGTCCGGCTGCCTAGAACAATCTTTTCAAGGTTTGTGGGTTTGGCCCTCAAAGGTGCCAGTGCGCACACCTTCCTGGCAGCTTAATGTCGCCTAAAACCCAGTGAGCTGCTGCCTGGTGGTGGCATCCTGGTGCTCTGGTCCCCCCGCCATCCATCAGCAATGTGTCAAAAGGAAAAGGGGAACAATTGTGTGCAGCTCAGTTAAAACTCTGGCCTCAAAGCCACCGCCACCGGTCTGCTCTCATGTCAGAGACCCGTCCGCGGAGCCCGGGTCCCTGGTGCCTGTGAGCAGAGTTGAGGCCATCCAGAAACTACCTCCGCTGGACTCGCATCTCCGTGGGGCCGGGTGTGCAGCCTCGCGCTGTCCCATCTGGAATGCCACGGAAGCAGACACACGAAGCCATGTCCAAGTGCCTTTGGTTCTTTCTTTCTTTCTAAACACGGGGCTCTTTTTTAGCACTGAATTGTCAAAAATGCTAGCCAGCCACATTCTCAAACTGTGGTCAGCCAGTTCTCCCCGACCCCGGGTGAGTGTCTGACTTCTGTTCAGCCTTAATTAAATTTGCAACCCGCCAATGGAGAAGAACGAGGAATTTTTTTTTTTTTTTTTTAAATAAACACTTTTGCAAGATGAAATTTTTTTGTAGTTACTGTATATGTACTGAGAAAGCTATAACTTAGGGTTTCGTTTTGTTCTTTGTTTTTTTTTTTGTAATTTTTCGGAATGATTTGTTAATTTCTCTAACTTGACCAAAGTTTGCAGCCATACCTCAATAGAACAGGAATATTTTTAAATCCCATCACTGCAGACAAACTGGAGCAATATGGTTTTACAAGGTTTTTTTTTCGTTTTTCCTCCTTATTATTAGGTCGTTAATGGATTAGGAAGAAACAACAGGATTCTGTGTAGGCTTTTTCTAGAAAGTTCGATGTTCTTTGTCCCGATTTTAGGCTCAGAATAAATGTCTTTTACAAATGCATTTGGTTGTGTTTTCTCCTGTTTGCAAATCCCTTTTAAGCCCCCTGGGCATTTCTGTTCCTATGATCTCGTTACAAAAACCCCAGAAGGCAGACCTGGCAGAGAGCATTATCCCCACTTTACGGATTGGAAGACTGAGGCCCCGTGCTTCAGTATTGTGCGGTGGTTCTTACTGCCTTACAGGAGCAGCAGACTCGAGCCAAGGGACCAAGCCTGGAAACCAGGGGTCTCTTAATTCTCCCCAAAGTGGGTGGTACTGTCCCCATTCGAATTTGAGGAAACTGAGGCTGTGGTGGTCCCCCGCTAGGAGACCAGCTCCGCCTTGAGTGGGGCTCACCAGCCCGATCAGCCACTGAGGAGCCGGTTGACCCTGGAGGGGGCCGTCTCTGCAGGCGTGGGGGAACCTGGGCACGAGAGGAGGCGGATGCAGCGGGAGTCCGAGGTGAGGCAGGTTTAAACATCGACCCCGGGGAAGGTAGTCGTGCTGCATTCTGCAGAGCAGTTATTCACCTGGACCTGTTACCGGCACCTTCTATTGATGGTTAAGTCATGATGGGCCAGATCCGATTTAATAAGAAAAATGCTGCCCCTTTTGGTCCTTAAAATGTCGGATGCGTCCTTGAAAATGTTCTGCTCGGTGAGAGAAGGCAGTCACGTCATGTGTGATGTTCATGGGGAATTTCCAACACAGGGTCTATAGGAACAGAAAACGGGCTAGCGATTGCTTGGGGCTGGGGCACAGGGGGTGGGTGGGGTAGGGGGGTGACAGCTAAAGGAGTGGGGCTTTTGGGGTGATGAAATGTTCTCAATTTGGTGATGGTTGCATGTATCTGTGGATGTACCAAAATGCAATTGTGCACTTGGGGTGAATTGTACGGTATGTGAATTATATCTCCAAAACATGTCACATGTGATTGTGTGATAAGAATAAGAAAGATGTTCAGCTCTGAGGAGCTGAGGAAACCCCATAAATGTCCCCGGGTGGCCCCTACACAGGGGCAGAACACCCGAGGGCTCATTGTTGGGACTGTGGGCTTTTTAGATGTTTCTCTCATTTTAAAAGTTAAGAACAATGTCGTTAAAAATCAGGAAAACCCAGAAAAGTGTACTTTTGAAACTGCTGTACAGAAATAATCACAATATTAGGCGTATCTCTCCTGGTAGATTTGTTTTTATTTTTATGTAACAGCTTTATTGGAATATATTTTGCATTGCCATAAAGTTCACCCATTTAAAGTGTACAGTTAAGTGGTTTCTAGTATATTCACAGAGTTGTGCAACCATCACCACTATCTAGTTCTAGAACATTCTCATCACTCCAAAAGGAAACCCCATACTCATGAACCCCTCTCCCAGCCCCTGGTAACCACGAATCCACTCTCTGTGGATGTGCCTGTTCTGGACATTTCACATCAATGGAATCACACACCGTGTGTCCTTCTGTGTCTGGTTCTCTCACTGAGTGTCGTGTGTTCAAGGTCCATCCACGGTGTGGCTGTGTCAGGGCCTCTCTCCTCTTCATGGCTGTGTCGTATTCCAGTGTGTGGATGGACCACATTCTTAAATCCACCTGGTTCATTTTTTAATGTGAAACTTTTCCCTTCTCTCCCTCCAAGTTGTATGATTAATACACAATCCCTTTAGAACATTTGGAAACAGAATACATGAAGACGAAGTAAAAAATACATAATCCTGCCACCCAGAGGATTGACATTTTCAGGCTTTATCTAACCACCTCTATGTGTTGGTCCTGCAGTATTTTTTTTTTTTTTTTTGGTGAGGAAGATCGGCCCTGAGCTAACATCTGCCAATCCTCTTTTTGCTGAGGAAGACTGGCCCTGGGCTAACATCCATGCCCATCTTCCTCTACTTTATATGGGACACCGCCACAGCATGGCTTGCCAAGTGATGCGTTGGTGCGCGCCCGGGATCCGAACCGGCGAACCCCGGGCTGCCACAGCAGAGTGCACGCACTTCACCACTTGCGCCAGCCCAGTCCTGCAGTATTCCCCCTCAGAACCTTCTGATCGAGTTTTGCCTCTGAGCCTTTTTTCAGTTGAGGCGTAGAGAGGTTAAGTGCTTTACTCAAGGACATGGCAAAGCCAGGGTACATATATATTTATATATATGTCTCCATATATTTGTTTTAAAGAACAAAATTAGGACCATGCTGTGTATACTGTATATACTACCTTGTGCCCGGTTTTCAGTTCATTTATTGAGTAACCAGCCACTTTGTCTAGCACCTTCGTAAACAAACAGATGTGAGCGTGGTCTGGTGTATGCATATTTTTGTGTCTGTGCTCGTAAATGTGAAACATACTATACGTGTCTAGCAATATACGCTTGGAGTGAAATAGGATGTTTGAATTTCTCCCTCAAATGTATTTCTAACTATTTTTAATATACATCAGAGGATCTTCCTTTCCATCCGTCTTTATCTTTTATGCATCCGACTAGCTCGTAAGTGAGAGGGGACTCTTTGTAAAGCAGGAGATATTTCTCAGCTCCACGCCTTATGTTCGGGGAAGGTGAAGACCAGTTAGAAATGACCCAGCCTTGGGCCGTCTGAAGGCCAATGGCAGAGGTCCCCGGCCTCCTTAGGGAGAGATCCCCAAGCATGATTTGCATGAAATTTGCCCTTGTCCCCAAAGACTTGAAGAAAACCAGGATGATTAGGGAAGTTTTCTCCAAGTTAATCTGTCCATCTGAAAATTCTGAGTGTCTCCTTCCTCCTTTGCATACGACACCCTTTAATTAAATGACAGTCTTTATATTTTTTCTTTTCTAACATTTTTAAATGAAAACTTTCAAACAGAAAAACTTGAAAGAATTGTATGGGGAACCCTCAAAGGGACCCACCATCTAGATTCTACAATTGTTAATGTTGTTTTTTGCATAATAGATGGCATTACAGTCTCCCCAAGCAAAATTAGGAAGTTGACAGTCTATTTAGGTGCCCTAATTAAAAAAAGAAATTTCACAGTCTGAAATCCAAACAGCTGGAATTCACCGTATTAGAGGAATGACTTGGAAGTAGGAAAAAAGGCTTGTGTGAGGCGGAATCCCTTCATTATTGCTCTTTAGGTGCTGTATTACCACCAGATTCCATTTCTGTCTTTCCCACCCGTTAGAGAGTTCTCAAGAGCAGTAACTATTTCCTATCTTTACAATTAAATTTTAACTACATGAGGAATATATGAATATGGTCCCAAGAGGATTTTAAACACCCCAGAACAGATTCAAGTCCCCACAGGCTACCGTTTTTACCAACATGGATCTCTCCTTCTCTCCCCAAAGACTGTTAGATTTCTCAGTTTGGGGGTGGCCTTTTTCCACACAGTGACACAGGTATGTGCTCTTAGAAACCACACGACATTGGTTTCTGCGTGTTTGTTTCTGCCCGGTATCTTCTTGGCTACAGAATTCTGGACCATCTTGCAGCTCAGCCACAATATATACAGGGGATGTTTCCTTGACAGAACATGTAGATCTACTGCCTTTTAATTGCTACATAGTTGAGTATTTCAGAGTACCCTGTGCTACAAGTTACCTCTGTAATCCCCTACTGATGGATATTTAGAACAAAACTTGGGAAACAGGCCTGCAGCTCTGCAGCGAGCATCCTTGAACCCCAGGAATATAGCGTAGAGGCACTTACAGTGGTACTGGAAAACGTCCAATTGCCCGATGTACACTCCTGCCAGAGAAATGGGGGCGTGCCCACACCCCTGCCTGGTATGCAATTAATAATATGATAATAGTAGCAAGCCTTAAGTAAATGCTCAATATGCAAAGCCACGTGGTCAAACTCTTTACATG